TTGTTCTTGATTCTGAACTCGCGTATTTCTGGCTTCAACTTCCCATCAGGACCAAGAAGGGAAGCATGCGCTTTGGCTGTCTTCGTCTTGTCGTTATTGTTGGAAGACGACGAGGAAGCCTGTTGCTGAGAGCTGTTGGAGCCCTTGTTGCCAGAATTCGAATTACCACCGGAGACGTTTCCGTTTCCGGAGTTGTTGCCAGAGGAGCCAGAAGAGCCAGACGATTTTTTCGAAGAGGAGTCCTTTTTAGAACCCCCAGACCCAGAATTCGAGCCACCGGAATAGCCACCGGAATGGCTAGAGCCCGAACCAGAACCAGATGCACCACCATGAGAATCTCTTAACTCCCGCTCCCTCTGCTTCTCCGCTTCACGCTTCCAATACTTGCCGTCAATGAGACGGGCAGTTTGCTTGACTCCGTCCAGCGTATTAGTGTAGACGTAGTGCATCATGTCGTCCTTGATACGTTTGGGAAGACCGGAATAGAAGGTATGTCGGAGAGCGGAATCACCCCAATTGGTGATGAGAGCGAGGGTGTCGAATTGGATAATGTAAGTGGTGATCTTATCACCGGACTTCATCGTCACATTCCGGATTTTGTCCTCCGCGTCGCCAACCGGGTCCTGAGGACCAAAGTTGTCCTGGAGTTCCTTGATGAACAAAGGAAAATTGCCGTCCCAAGCCGGAATCGCAATAGCTTGGCCCTGATTCATGGCATACAGGTTAGGCTTAAAATATGCCAATGCGTTTCCGCGCAGATACGAGGTGATGTAGATTATTTTCTCGTCATCAGTAGAGAAATCTTGCTCACACTCGGCAAAGTGCATATAGCACTGGGTGAGGAAAAGGACGAAGCTTCGCGGGCTCGGAACCGTCGAACGTGTCCGGTGCCCGGAGAAGACTCCGATTGGAACGGGGCGCAGCATTGTTGCGCTGAGGAAAGTTGGTGAGGAAATGTTGGAAATTTTGGAGAGCGCCAATCATAGGCGTTGAAGATCACGCCCGGAGAGCCAGCTCGAGGGACTCCGGCACCACCACCTCCACCAGGTGGCCCACCACCTCCACCTCCACCTCCTCCGCCTCCTCCGCCACCACCACCTCTAGGGGGACCCCAGAATGGATTTCCAGATCCACCAGGGCCACCACCAGGACCACCAGGTCCGCCAGGTCCACCACCGCCAGGAGGTCCACCTCCAGGGAAACCTGGAGGGGTCGTAGATCGACTAGATGGCGAAGTCAAGAACGGACTCGGCTTGCCACCAAGAGTCGGAGAGCGGTTGCGGTTTGGTTGACCTTGACCGGAATCGTTTCCGTTTCCGGAGCGACCTTGAGCAGGACTCATGGGCCTGCTAAAAGCGTGCCGATACATCGGAACTGGCTCGCTTTCTTCTTCGATGTCGTGAAGGCGTGTGGGAGTGAGGGGTCGGTAACGAAAAGTAGGAGAGACGGGAGGGGAACTGATGCTAGAGAAACGACCCGTGTTTGGATACGGAGTCGTTGGCATAGGGATAGTACTTGGATCAGGATCCTGCGGAGACATGACAAAACCAGGCCGGAAAGGGTTGGTCGTGCCAGTAGGTGTCCGAGGAACGGGAACAGGAACCGAAGTGACAGGAGCGCCAGCGTTGTAGGTGAAGTTCGCCATAGGCGAAGTGAGAGGAACCATTTGTTCGTAGAAGCGGGATGAACGCCGTTGACCAGTATTGGCGGGGTCAATGTTGTCAGAAGAGAGGCGTACGTTTGACATGGTCAAAAGAAAGTGAGTTTGTAAATACTGTTAAGTGCCGTGTCGACCAAAGGGACGGAGACGGAGACGGAGACGGAGACGGAGACGGAGACGGAGACGGAGACGGAGACGGAGACGGAGTACCCGAATCGGGACCGGGTTCACTGGGGACCGGGACCGGGTCAAGCCGAAAATTCCCGGACCCGGACCCGTGCTCAACCCTAGGGAGGATCCAAAGCGTGAATAAAAGCTACAGTGATACACGGAGGGACCGACCTAGCAGGGGAGGATCCAAAGAGAAGAAACTCTAAGGGTCCACCTGCTAGGGCGCCAACTATATACTGGTTGTCCGTAACTGCCGACGTAGAGCGCAGAAGGCCTAAGCGGCGTCGCAAGCTCTGTCCCAAGGTGACCGTTGGGAGGGTCTTGACAGATCAGTGATTGTGCGGGCGAAGGAGGCCGAGGACGAGGGTTGGGGTAGGTCGGAGCGTCCGAGGGAGCGTTGGTCAGATGCGCCTCGGATGCGCTCGGTTGGTCCAAAGGAGGCCAAAGCAGGGGTTCCCCTGACAGAATCACACACCCTCACCACTCTAGCCAATGCTGGAAGCATTTTTTGTTTCTGCGCGACACCGGTTGCCTGTGCCTCCTCCTCCTCCTCGTCCCCGCAATCAGATTTGTGCCTTGCACTTCTGTGTCGTTCCCTTGTCGTTGTGTTGCTTCCACACTTTGGCAGCCGGAACCTCTCCCCACTTCTAAAGATCTTTCCATCAATCCAGCTCATCTTCGACTTCGCCATCCGTAAGTTTCACCCATTTGCATGTCTTATCCTTCAATGTGCAATAGATGAGTCAAGAGTATTGGTGTTATTTTGGAGGAAAGACACTTGAAAGGCATGTTGGGCCAACGCAAGGTGATATTATACCCTGCCACAATCTTCTCGGTAAAATTGTCAATATTCATTTGCACCTGTTTTACCTAGGATGTCTTCTGTAGTATTGTCAGGCCCAGGGAAATTGATTTCAGATGGACGCATCTTACTCAGCCCGGCTTGAATCATTGCCAATGCCTCTACTGTCATCTCTGCAATGGTTGGCACAGTGATAGAGCCTGAATATCAACAAGTGAGCATAGATGCAAGAAAGAAGGATCAGCCTTGCAGCCCTTGTTGACCTTTCCGTCGAGTAGCAGCCCACAGCTCCAACAGCACCTTCTATAGCTGGATCTATGCATAAAATGCTGGTGAGGTCCATAGAAAGTTATCTATAAGATATAGGTATTCCACCGGACACCCATTAGAGTGTGTTCAGTAAAAACTCAAATGTGGTGTTTGATGCTGGAACCCAGGAGTTTGATGGCGGAATATCTCGGAGCCTTCAGGTAGAGAATGTTAGATGATGCTTGTTTCCTTATTTCTGCATCAATATACAGCTTAAATCTTGGTCTCTGGCCCTCCACTACATAATAACACCTGATGGATTGGCTCCCCAACTTTTTTAAGCATAATAAACATGTCCAAACCCGTGATATAGGGAAGATGTCTTTGACAGTTGGGATCAAACCCCAGCATCAATTTTAAGTCCTATTTCTTCAGGCCAATGACCTGGTATGTAGTTAGGGGCTGTATGATAGGGAAAAGAGAATATCATCCTAATTGGGATAAAATTGATGGATCTCTATACAGCCACCAGAATCATTGATGACAATCAAAATTGATTCCACATCAAGGTATAGATCTAGATGCCATCACTCTGTCACTGATAGCCCTCTCAGATAGTCTAACAATAATAAATTCAAGAGCTGTTATATATTATAAATAGCTGGACCCATATCTTATAGATAACATTCCCTAGACACCACCCATATCTTATGCATAGATCTGACTATAGGAGCTGCCAACAGCGCACTCAACTGTGTTGGATCCTTCTTGAACAGATTGGTAAAAGAAGCTAGGAGCACCGCCAGACTCAATGGCAGCAGGCGCTACGGTGTTGCTCATAATCTCTTGTTCTGTGTCTGCAGCAGCCAAGATGTTGTCGCCGCGTACTTCATGGTGCTGGGCGTCCCACTTGGCTTCAAGGGCTTGTATGGTTTCCTTGACTTGTCCCGGTGTAATGTCGTTTAAAAGGTCCCGATCTTCGCCCACTATAGTCTTGACCCCTTTCTTGATGTACTTCTCCCCTGCCATTTGATCTAATGTGGTTTTCAGTCCCACTGTTTAGCAACACAAGAGAAAAGCCCTTCCCTCAGTTGAGTAACTCCATAAGAAACAAGATTTTGACACCATTCACTGCTCGGTTTTCCTTGACATTGCAGGATGCATTGGTAATGCAATGAATGATCTACACCTCCTTCACCCCATGGTCCTGAGCTGGTTGGGAAGAGGTCCCAGAAACTTGTGAAAGTTTTTGCTTGTAAAAAATCAAGGAAAAAACTGATCCTTTGCGTAACAATTTTTGCTGATAAAAATTTTGAACCATTTCCCTAGTAAAAATCTTGAAAAAAATTTCAAAAATTTTACCTAACTTTTCACAGGGAGAAACAGCCCACTGATATATAGCATTAGTGGACCCACTAACCAAATGTGACAGTTGCCTAGTGATTCCCACATTCACATAGCTTGATTACATGAAGGTTTAAACAGCAAGATAATTAGGCAAGTTTCTGATTCAGGTGTTGTATATGTAGCAAGCTTTATTTCATATTGAAACTCTGTAGTGCCAACTACTTAAAAAAATTAGTTAAAAAATTCAACTATCAATACTTATGATGCTGCCCTTGCTGATTTGCCTGCTTGTTCTCCCAAGTAAACCTAAGGAAAAGTTACATAAGTAAAATTACTGTCAAGATCAATCTGTTGGAAAACAAGGAATGCATTGGGTGTAGAGGTGTCCATATTGACAATAAGTATGCATAGCAAACTAGTCCATCCCACACAAAGCTCTAAACCTTGGATCAAATATCGTTCAATAGCTGCCACTATGACAGTTCAATAGGTACTTGATCCACCTGTCCAAATATTCGCCCTTTGCTTCCTAGGGTCACGGGTGTGCTTCGGGAATATGGTGTGCGCAACAACCCCTCCTGACCTCACTGTAACAACCGCTCTTTTAGTCAGCATTGACCCCTAACTTGAAATTTCCCGGGCTCTCGCAGCGAAGATCAACTTTGCTTCTACTTGTTACTATGTTAGCTCACAACTTCGGGGGGGAGGATGGTGTACGGCTTTTATAGACGCGGCTTTTACATTCTAAACCGCTAGTATACAAGCTTCGATTTAGATCTTGAACTCCTCGCCGACGATCTCCTCCGACAGTTTCCACAGCTTGTCCGCGTTGGCCTGGAATAACGGTTTTCAGTGGCCGCTCCGCGGGCGGTGGGAGATAGACTTACGATATCGGAGTTGAAGGCGCTGCGGTTGTGGGGTCCACCGGCGGTGTCGCTGGCATCGGCGCAGTCCATCAGATAAGCACCGGATTTGTCTGCTCGAGGCATAAATAAAAGGAGACGGAAGGAGGGAACGAGAAGACGCACCGTTTAGACGGTGATCGAAGGCCGCAACGAGGGTGCTAGTCAGAAAACGGAGCGTCAGCCTAAGTCAGGGAGGAACCGGGTTTACATACGTCGCAGCGCCCTCGGGGATAGTCTTCCACGGGTGGGCGGCATCAGGGTTTTGCGAGCCGTCTTCCTTGATCTCGCCCATCGCCTTGAGCGTGGGGATCATCGCCTCCTTCGTGAAGATGTTCGTGAAAATGACTGTCGACAATAGATCAGTGGATGGGCTTCGAAAAAGGGAGACACATACCGCCGGGGTGCAAGCTGTAAGCACGGAGCTTACCCTCGCAACGCTTAGAGAGTGCGAGAGCGAAGAGGACGTTGGCGGACTTGGCCTCGTGGTAACGGGCGAAGACATTGCTCTCCTGAGGGGGTGCCAGCGTGGGGCTTGCGGAGCATCGTCCAGTCGATGCCAGGGCCAGCAGCCTGGGCGCCAGACGAGACGATGACGATGCGGGGGAGCCACGAGCCGGAGATAGAGGCAAGGAGTTTGGGGTATAGGAGTTTGGTGAGGAGGAAGGGGCCGAGATGGTCAATGGCCATCTGGCCTTCGATGTCGTCTTCGGTGATGCGATAGGTCGCGTTGGTGTCCGCGGCGTTGTGGATGAGCACCTGCGATGGTCAGATCCAACGCGATTGGGCGAGATGGCAAGACGTACGTGAAGGGGCTCAGAGTAGGCGTTAACCTCGGCACCAGCCTTGCGGACAGCGGCGAGCGAGGACAGATCGAGGACAAGGGGGCGAATCTCAGCCTTTCCACCCTCCTTGCGGAGCGCCTCAGCGGACTTCTCGAGACGCTCCTTGTTGTAGCCAGTGATAATGACGAGGTTGGCGTGCTTGGCGATGACGCGCGCGGTCTCGAAACCGATACCGTTCTGCGAGGTGCCGGTGACGAGGACTGAAACTGAGTGTGAGCGAGCGACGGAAAGGGCAGGATACACGCACCGTTCTTTCCGGCGATGTCGCTGGCGAAGGTGTCCGCGACCTGCTCGGCGGTGCTGGAGACGTTGAAGGTGGGGAGAGACATTTTCGTGCTGTGACAAGTGGGTCCTCCATTCTCAAAGCCACCCGCCTTTTATTCGTCGGGAGTGGTCGAGCCTCTAGGTAATCAGCTCAGACACTCCCTCGGAAGACCATCCGACATGTGACGTCCTGTCAACCAGGGGGATTCGATGAACCCTGCCCAGTTGGCGGAGGAGAAGATGGGCGCTTGCGTGTACGTGCGGCTACGATCATGCCGTCCTCCCTTTTTAGGGTCCTTCGTTGACGGCTGACACGCCACAGCTGACACCACCCCAGTGTACCATGTACCCTGCACGAATTGTCCTTAGAAGCGGGAAGAGCTGGCTGCCGGCGTCGTCGGGTGTAACTTGGCTGTAACTGATGCCAAGCGAGTCACACCAGCGCCAATCAATCATCACGCGGTGACCCGTGCCGGCGCTGCGGGCCGTGGAGATAAGATAACTCGGATCTCGCCGATGAAAGATGATGTAAATTCACGATCCAAACTGTCGGTAATTTATCCGATTGACCACAGATCATGCGAGGGGAACCGGACGTGGGGGCTCTGTCTATTAGCAATTACTCAGATTACTCGCACTACGCGACTACTAGTCTAAATCTGCGCGGTTCGACCTAATTTTGAAGACCTAGCATCACCGTCTCTGGGACCGTGCGCCTCGCTGCTCTTCCTCCGGCTCCGGGCCGGGGCTGCCTTCCCTACTCCGACTTCGGCTCCTTCGTCTGAGCCGGCTTGGCCCAGGTCTCGACAAACTTCCTCTCCCTATTACGCTCCCGGTTCCGGGCTGCATAGCCTCGAGGCTAGTAGACGCCTGCATCTGTCCAGGGTACCGCGGGACCTGCTCATCGCCCAGCGAGAAAATAACCGTCTCGTAGGTCCCCAACTTCACCGTCGGCTTCCGGCCCGGCCCGCCCTCTCCCCGGGCGTAGTACCCGCCAAAGCCCGGCTCGCCACTCTCCCGTCGGCCGTATGCACTGCCGATAGGCACCTGCGCCTGGAACCGGTGCTGGTAGTTCCCGCTCGCGGGGACGCCAGCCGTGGTGTGCGGCACCGTTTGCGAGTCGAGTTGGCCATAAGGAGAGGACGGCCGCATAATTGGCGGGGGCGGCGGGGGCGAGCGGTCGTGGATAATTTGGAGCTCACTAGCTGCAGGAGGAATCGGGATTGTTGTAGGGGGCAGGGCGGGACGGATCGGGGGATACCGGGAGTTTGTGGGTGATTGACTAGAGTGGCGAGGAAAACTCGCGCTTTGCGTTGGTGTCCGACTTCGTCGCGATGTACCCGCTTCAGGCTCGACGGGGGAGTATATCTGGGGAAGCGAAGGCCGACTTGGATATGTGTGACTGGACCGGGTGCTCGACGGTGACCGAATCGGGGGAATGGTTTCTTGTGGGGGAATATAATGTGTTGCCAAGGGAGGGGATGGAAACGGCATTGGTGGTCCTGGAGGCCGCTGTAGATGTCTGAATGGTGGTAAAGTGGGCAGTGGAGGTGGCGGGCTCCGTCGCTATACGCAAAGGTTCAGCCTGCATATACCAAATTGGGGAACAAACAAACTCACTCTTGTTTCATGATGACTTGCCGAACGCTGTCGTTTGTATCGCGACTGGTCCTGGTTCTCCTCCTCGTCTGAAAGTCCGCGTTGATGATGTGTTGCGACATATCCTGCCGCAGAGGAAGGCCGTGACGGTGGAAAGCGTTGGGAGACACCGGAAGACAGTGGGCGTGGGTCAATTCCTGTCGTCATTTCCTCGAGAAATTGACCAAACGTAGCCCGGGACTGCGCCGCCTGGGCATGGATAACCGATAGGTTCCGTTCCGCATGGATCCAGTGTGTTTCGACGTGGCGTCTCTTCCGCTCTGCCTCCTGCAACGCTGCCTCCGCCCGCGCCAGCCTCTCCCGGTATGCTGCCTCGTTCGAATGACTACTCTGTGGTGAATGCACGAGAGCCTGTAGCCTGTCCGCTTTCTTCCGGACCGCGTCAAGCTCCCGTCTAAGCGCCTCGGCCTCGCGGCGGGAGTCAGCCAACTGGGCGGCCAGCCGATACTCGTTTTCGGAAACTGGCTGTACCGTGACGGCAGGTGGTGGGGGATTTGCCAGCGCGGGTTCGGCAGAGACACCACGAGACGGCGACCTTTTTTGTCGCTTCCGACTCGAAGAGGGGGATTCTCGTCCCGGATTGTCGCGGTCGCGGTCCATGGTTCTGTGGTGCGTAGATTTGATGAGTAGGAGGCCGCAGCTCGCATCGAGTGGGAACCGCTGAAGGTGGAGGGTGAAGAGGGCGTGTGTGCACCCAGCAGAAAGCGAAGAAGGCAAAAGCCAAATTCGGTTCCTTTGCGTTACCCCTTCTGAGGCAACCCGAGGCACGCTGCAAACACGTGTAGGGGAAAGTGTAGCCGAAGTTCTTATCCCCCATCTTTTTTATCCCCAGCGCTCTGTCGACATCCGATTTTAGTGTGGCCAGGGCTATTGTAGAATCAGATCGAGACACACCACCGGCGGCGTGTCGGGGCACCGTGTTGCTGTGGCACGACAACGATTTTCTTTCGAAGATGGCAGTTGGTGGTCAAAAGTGTCACGTTAGCGTGATGCCGTAATACCGGGTTTTTCACCGCCGTCACCCTCGCCCAAGGCAGCTAGTCCCTGGAAGTCTTCCGCACTGGCGTAGTCGGTTCCTGCGCTGCTGTCCACACTGGGGCTGCTCTAGCACAAGAGCTTCACTCGGAAGTGGGCCCATCTCCGCGACGCCCCCGCTAGAACCGCATGCTTCATCGTCTTCCGCCAGTTCATTCCCAGACTCGCAGGTTCATTTCGAACCTTCATTTCATTTCGGCACACGACATTTCCTTGCTCTTCGCAGGAGACTCTCACGCGTCGTCACTCAATACATGTTCTTCCACGAAATTATCTCATACCGTCCGGAAGTGGCGAGGGAATCGCTCGCCCTGCTACAGCAGCCTGCGTCCGGGAGCTAAGGGAAAAAAAGGCCGACCAGCACTCCCTCGCCTGCTCCGCAGGGTCGCGCCTCTTCACGGAATCCGATGCTCGCTCCGAGGGTCATCATAATCGATTCAGTTACTGCTTCGTAACATCTGGCACTGGCAATCATATCTAAAATGAAATCTCTCACCCCGGACAGAGAATCTCTAGCCTCCAATCTGGGCAGCTGACCGGCGACCATTCAAAATACTCGGCACTCGGCACGGTTTTTTGCTATTCGCCATTCTATCGCAGGGGGTCGATGAAATCATTGTCAGGGACTTGGCGACTTATATCGATGAAATTCTGTGCCGACAATTGACTGTGGAACACACAGAACAAGGGCAACGCTCACCTTGCATTGGCTGGTGGTGGAACAAATGAAGTGGAGATGGGCAACGCCGGCCAGAATTGATGCATATTCCGTGCAAATGAACGCGTTCGAAGCTGTCAATTAACAAGAACAATGTCCGGGGATCATCGAAGGCTGCATCAAGTTTTCATCAACAAAGAGGCCTGTCGATTGTGTCGAATGTGAATGTTTTTCGCCTCCGATCGCGGGCCCCGGAGGCATCCGCACCTCGCACTTCTGTGATACCTCCCAGCATGGCAAGACCCACCAGCCTGCAGCTGGATCGCGGAGGGAGTAGCGCAAGCTCCCACAAGAGGCCCTTCGAGGAGTAAAGACTCCGGGAGCAGGCAGGCACACCGCCCGCCGACGCCCGGCAATCTCCAAAGCTTCAAACTTCAAGCTCGTCCACGCGAAGGGTGCCTGTGCCATGCGCACTAGCCTGTTCTTTGCACGACAGCCTCCCGCGATCCTGCTGGCCTCCTCCCCCAAGCCTCGTGGCCCGCCTCAGAATAACTGTCATGGGCTGACAGCGAACATCCTCCCAAGAATTCACACACATCATAACTTTAACTGCCCCACCGACGACGTCCGTATGTGGTCACAGAACCGCGGGCGGCCCTGCTGTCCTCGTGGCTTGGCTCACGGCGGGGCTATTCGCTATCAGGAATTGGTATTCGATGTCGATTGAAGTAGTATTTGCGAATCTTCCCCACAGCTTGTAACAATGATACGGTATCGGCTTGAATACATAGTCGCCCCATTGAAATAGTCCAATCACTGTGAAAGTTGCTCCGCTAACGAACCCAATCCAACGGACACAGATTGCGGCTCCACGGGAAGAGCGAGATTTGAGTGGCCCGCAGCGGGGCAATGTGTAGGAGGGACCACGCCGTGGTCTGGCTCTATCGATTTAGGCGGAAAGTATCCCATCGCGCGAGCCATACGGGCAAAATCGTCCTCGAACTCCGGACCGGGTTCATAGTACACGATGGGCGGAGAAGCAGGAGAGTTGGCTTGTGCCAAAGGCGCGTAATGCACGAACTGAAGGGAATGGTCGTTCGGGGTCGTAACAGCGCAGTCTGGGGACTTGGACCTTGGATGATTGACGATCGTGTTGCAATGACTCTCTCCATGCATGCGCAAAAAATGTTTCCTTCGAGCTGCCGGATCCTTGGTATCGAAGTTGCACCCTTCGACTGGACACTTATAGGGCCTGTCGCCAGTGCTATTATAGAAGGTCAGTAAAATGGCGCAAACAGAAGAACACGACACGCACTGCCCATTCAGGTGGATGTTCAGGTTGGTCTTATATAATGTCCAGAACGGGCATCCTTCCACAGGACAGCACAGTTCGCTAATTCAGCCATCGGTAAGTAAATTCCATCCGAGAAGATACTTATGAACGAACAGATTATCGCGTTGTTGTTGAGAGACATGAACAGTATTCAAGTGTCGTCGCAGGTGGGGCAAGTCGTTGAAACTCCAAAGACAGTCGCCATAAGGACAGCCAAAACGCCTGAATTCGGTGGGTGGTAGCCGGCCATGAGGAGATCCCTACAATTACAGTCAGAGATACAGGAGTAGAAACCTATAGGGTGACTTACGAGGTGGGATTGGCGGGAATGCGGGCTTGCCATTTAGAGAGAGAATAGTTTCTTCGAGTGGTTTTACCCGTGTCGGGTATGAAGCTCACGGTCGGTATAGCCCCGAAACTGTGCCTTTATACTCTTCATCTATGACCAGCGTTTATCGGATTGCTCTTTGGTCGAGGAGTAAAATTGCCGAAAATGGTATGTGGGCCCAAGCGTAACCAAAGCACGACTTGAGCCACTCCCGCAGAGGATTGCGAGTGGCGCTATGGCCATTCAGGGAAGGTTTTTCAACCATGGTTAGGCGAAACAGGTGGTACAATCGTATGGGGAACCCGACAGCGAAAACGGGGGAACATATCACATTGGCTACTCAGAGCTCTTCTCCTAGCGGTAGATGTGAGAAATGGTAATAATGGTTTGAAGGGGTACACACTATTCAGGGAGACTTCAACGCGAAACCCTCCGTCCTCCGTTCCCGTCTATTTCGCCCGTCTTCTGTTGAGCTGGTATCGAGGGTGAAACCGTAACGGCAGGAGGTGTAGCAAGCATTCGGCGGGAGTCGGGGGACGGCCGTGTCAACAAGGGGGTATCCCACTACGGGTGTGGTAGTTGAGAGCAAGTCGTTTGCGGCTCTGGAGGCTGACGCACCATCATAAAAGACTCTAACTTGCGTTCTGACCCGTCCAAGTTCGCTTGTCGTGTGCTCGAGGGTGAGCAACCAAATGTTCCGTCGCAACGCCCAACATTTGCCGCTGGGGGGATTACGAAGGACTGGAGTCAGATGCGCGGGGTTTGTAGTTTGTGCTAGTCATAGTGTTGGCCGTGGTGGTTGGAAGGATAGATGGGGCGAGGGTGTCACGTCAGACTTCTCGCTCGGACCCGCGACGTATACCCCCTCGATCCTTTTCCTCTATATGTCGATGGTCGTCCTATGCCCGATAGCAAGCGCTAACTCTCCGCCCTATCTTCGCTCAAGGTTACAGCAGTCGCCGCATCGGTTACCACTTGACTCACTCCTTCTTGGGCCTTGTTTCTTCCGACAGTTCTCCCCGCTACTGCGAGTGGGGGTTGTAAAATGCCGGCCCGTCTTACAAATGGTCCTCAGTGCCGTCGTTCAAATGACACTCCCCGCATGAATGGAGGCATGTCGTCTCTGCATTTCCCTTTTCAATAATTCCGCGAGCTAAAAACTGGCGAGATACTCAGTGGGCTTTCACCGATGGTTTCGGGCTACACGATGGTCTGTATCCATAACTTACTCAGCAAAACCGATAACACCGGCATGCGAGCGCTCACTTAAAAGCGCCTTCATGCAAGTCAGGGGAACAGAAACAAATGTCTCTTCCCACTTTTGAATTTTCCACTACAGCTGAAGAGGCCACTGCCGCGCTAGCCAGCGAAATCGCGGGGAAGAACGGTATTTAGCCAGCTTTTGGATTCATACGACACACTCACTACTGGCACTCCCCAACCAACTTCACCAGTCCTCATAACCGGCACGACGATGAAGGGAATTGGCTTTGAAGCCGCGCGCACGATTGCCAAGTATGCAAACCTAGTCGTCATTACAGGTTATAATGAAACAAGGTCCGTATTCCTTCTGACCCCTGTTGCGTTCCGTCGCTGAGACATACATAGATTGCAACTTTCGAAAGAGGCGATTGAGAAAGAAAATCCGACAGCCGTGATACGTCCATTGATTTTGGACCTGTCTACTGACGCGTCCGTGCGCAAATCTGCCGCTGAAGTGAACGCTTATTTGGAGCCCATTCACGTAGGTTTTACAGTGAGAGCCTGAGAATGCCTTCCTGTTGACCAACATCCTCCCGCAATAGGTTCTTGTTAACAACGCCGCATATACCGACATTGTCGACAAGCAGACGCCGGACAATCTCGAAGTACAAATGGCAACGGGTCACATCAACCCGTTTCTGTTCACCAAGCTCATTCTTTCCAAACTCCTCGAATCAACTTCCGGGGATTGGGTTCCGCGTGTTGTTTTTGTTTCGTCCTCGATGCATGTTCTTTTGAATGGGGCACCAACTGAAAAGGAGGAATTGGCACGTGGTAAGGGCGGAGGTGACAATGATGCGGCGCGCGGGTTCATGCGCTACGGGGAGGTGAAAAGCGCCAACGCTCTAACCGCCAGAGAGCTGGCAAGAAAGGCCGGGTCAAAACTCCGAGCCTTCAGCTTGGATCCTGGAGGTTTGTTATGCACTATTCATAAAGAAGAACTAACGACCTTTGATCCTTTGTGATACTTAGCAATCCTCACAAATTTGCACCAAAAGCCAGCCGTACAGCCTGTCTTGCAAACAATGGGTATTCTAGACGCCGAGGGTAATCCGCTTGCATCTCAATACACTTGGAAGACTCTCGGTCAAGGCGCAGCCACGTACGTCGGGTTGACATGAACCGCGGATGCGTGACTAACTATTATTAGCACCGTCGTCGCAGCTTTTGACCCGAGAATCAATGGTATGCACTTAGACTCAGATTCATCTACTAAGACATGTTCTGTAGACTACTCTGGTTCCTATCTCGCCGACTGTGTTGTTGCAGATCAACTAGTTGCACCCCACTCGGCCGATGATGTGAGTGGCGGCCAATGGCCATCCTTGTGAACAGCATCCATACTGAACATGTTTAGGAGCGGGCGGCAAAATTGTGGAACATGACCGAGGGAATCATTGGGGAGACATTTGAAATATGACAACTTTCAAACTACGTACTCATATGGTGTAGTTTTTGAAAAATAGGTATTTAAAAGCGGTTTATTAAGATAAGAGTTGGAGTCAATTTCAAATGTGTCAGTAGCCTGAGCCTTTTCAAATATGTGTTATTTTTAGTATTTTACATCTTGAAGCATTATTGCCATTTGAATTGGAGAAAGGTGCATTGTAGAAAAAAAATGTTTTCCACTTTTTTAAATGCCTTCTCGTCAAGTTCTACTTACTAGTAGTAATTGCTCACTGGCACTGTCACTTCCTTTCTCATATCAATGTGTCATGGTCAAAGACCATGAAAACCCTAACACTCGACCAATCAGCTGAATATGGATCACCTCAGTTCCATAACTAGCCTGGTTTATAAACCAGGGACCTAGTTAAATCTTTCCAAAGCAGTATTTATAAACACTAAAATTTTATTCATCTAATTAAACCAGTCAGTACTACTGTACTATTTCATTCGATTCTGCGGGCCTGTGACCTGTGACACATGTGGCAGAAATGTGCAATTCAGCCAAAGGCTGAATTTGGTGTGACCTCCTGCCTTATATAGAAGTTCTGCGCGCTGTAGGCGCAAAATTTTTCAGAAATTACCATTTTGGGACGGTTTGGGAGCGAAGAAACTTGCTGTGACCTGTGACAGGCAGAAAATTTTCGGCCAAAAAAGTTAATGTGACCGTGACAGGACTAATTGATTGAAATACTACAGTAAGTCTAGGCCCTACCAAATGTACTTTGTGGTGGTGGCCTGGAGATCCAGCTGGTTTCCAGCCACTCTGGACCCAGAGTAGATCCATGTCATGGATAAGACCTGGCCCGTCCGCTCCGGTGCTGGCGTCGGGCCATTGCAGGCCCATAACACGCAGCACGTGACACGATGGGGAACATGCGCCCCAGTAGGAGGAATGCACACGTAGGAAGCACATGACCGAGAACGACGCTTCGAGCCGTTGCCGAGCCCAACCCGATACCAGGGGACTGGGGAAGAGTGCTAGGAGGTTAGGAGTAGCGCCTGGCCCGCAAGGGATGTACGATTGTCCCCTCTGCAGCCAGGAACGGGGGTGAGGAGGAGCAGGAGAGGGTGTCCGATCACCCCTTTGCGGGCCCGTGTATATAATGCGTGATAGCGTACCATGTACTCTATCGCTTGGATCATCTGAAGAACTACCTTACTACGTGCAAGGAGGTGCCATCGACTCATTGGGCCCGACCCGACCCGATTCGAACCTTTGACCACTGACAGCGACAAGGGACTGAGTCAACAGGCCCTTTTGGTTTCGATCTATCCCACTTGCCGCACTTGTGGGCCTGACAATCCGTCTGTTCTGTTCCGGGCGCGCGATCCCCTTACGCCCGCACAGCAGAACACGCGAGAGAGAGAAAAAAACAATTTATTGCAGAAAATTATAAAAGTCCAAGAAAATAAAAAATAAAAAAATAGCGAAGCAATACCCGACAGCTATACATGACCCTTCCCCTTCCGACTGGCCGAAGGACCCGATGGAGGAGAATGCCGTGGCCCTGACCCGGGTCGAGTACCCCCCAGGAACAGGGCTTGAGCGACCAGCCTGGCGACGATCAGCGGCAGCGGCCCTCTGCTCCCACAAGCCAAGTTGGGTTGCTCCTGTTCTCCGACACCGCCTGTAGGTCCGCAACCATTTGTAACCAAACATGGAAACAATGTGGCGCTGATCTGGGAACTAGCCCAGTGTCACATGTATCCACCAGGGATTTTGTGGCTGTGGCACAGCCGGAACCCCGTTGGCGGTGTATAAGGTGATTGGAGAGCACCGGACCTAAAAACTCATTGAACAAAAATATTAGTGGCCCAGAATGGGTAACCAAATCAAGGAGTATATCTGAACCTGCGATGGATGCCAATGGAGTCAATGGAGCCAACAAACTCATGGACTGCTGTAACCTCATAGTGTCCCCAATGGACTGTCAATAGACTTAATTGGCCCACGACCAGAAAGCAATGGCTTCACAGCTATTCAAGTCTGGGTTGACTTATTTACCAAACGAATCCATATCAAGCCCATGAGCATCAAGATCAACAGTGAGGGAGCACTATGTATCTGACTTCATGCCCAAGCTTGATCGGCTGCCAGGCTGAGAAGAGAGATAAACCCAAGCATAGCATACCATCCTCAAACCAACCGTCAGACAGAGTGGATGAACAAAGAGATTGAACAGTATCTCTACATCTACTAGTATGTCAACCACCACGTTGGAATGGATCGAATGGTTGCTGTTGGCCGAATTTACCTACAATAATAAAGCTCATGCTATCATGGGTACCATCCCTGTAAAGGTGTTAAAGGACCATATGACCGTAAGGTTGAGGCAGCAGAAGAGTTTGCAAAAAAGGTGCAGGATGCAACGTGACAATCAAGAAGGCCAAAGAGCGGATGAAGAAGCACTATGACCAGAAATATGTACCTGCACCTGAGTTCAAAGTTGGAGACAAGGTGTACATTGAAGGGTCAAAGGTGCAGCAGAATTGACCATCTGAGAGTCTATAATAAGACAGAGCTGACAGCCTACCACGAGCCCCCATCCCACCAATGAGAAGAAAGGCCGCCACCAGACATTGTGTATGATCATGAGGAGTGGGAGGTTAAGGAGATTATGAAGAAGTAAGCATGGTTATGGTTGGCAGTATCTGGTGCAGTGGAAGGGATATCTGCATGGGAGATAGCAAAAAGACTCGAGAACTCTCAAGAACTGTTGGATGAACCTGGTAGTCAAGACCTGTAGTGTGCCTGTTTTTGTTATTAGGATTACCTAGTCAAACATTACTGACCCATTTTGATGAATTCAGCGGGCCTGTGACCCGTGACGGTTTGGCCGAAATGAGGCAGACAGCACGTAAAGGCATGGCTAAAGTATGACATCATTGCCTCTTGTATTAGGCATGGTAAACACATGGTAGTAGTGTATATAAGTATAGTAGATTTTGTATTGCACCCTAGTCTTTGAATTCTATCATCTTTACAATATTTTTCCACAGTGCTTCTTGCTTGCCTTCACTGCTGGCATCCTCTGATTTGGTGTTATTTGTGACAGTGCATATCATCTCGGTCTCATGGGAAATCATCAGTGGGACCTCTGATGACCTAGTTTGATATTAGCAATACAGATACAATATATATGGTTGACACTGCTAATACAATACCAATAAAATACAATACACCAATTCAGGCTCTGCATGTATGTGACCAGGAAATTACCAAATAAGAATAATTTCCTGGCTGATTTGGTAATTTACTGTTGATGCTGAGCAGTAATGAGAATAGTAGGACTCAGTCCCACTTTGATGTGCGCAGTCCCATTCTTGTGGTGCTGAGACCACTTAGCCACTAATGAGACAACTCAACTCAGAATGCCAATCATAAAAAGATGGATCACACACTCTGCAGTGGGCCTGCCTGGCAAATGGCAGCCCACAGCAGTGTGGGGTCCGGGGCAAAGCCCTCGGTCAGGGTGGAAAACCCCGGCTTGTCAGGGGAATCTGCCTTTCAGCCCCTCGAAGACAATTCCAATTCCGGTCCAGCCCTCCATCTCACCTGCAGAATCACCAATCCGTAAACGCCCTCTTAAGGGTCACCCTGGGACCTGGCTGGCAACACCGCTCAAGCCCTCTGTGCCCGACAGCGGCAGCTACGGACAAGCAGTATATAGTCAGCTATCTTGCAAGTGGACCCTCAGAGTTTCTTCTCTTTGGATCCTCCCCTGCCAGGACCTTGATCTCAGGCCTCCGGGGTTGCCCATACATGGCTGGCGCCAGCAAATCCTGGCTGGCACCCTTGATGTAACAGTTGTCGATCTATCAACTGTGGCTGATATGCGGGAAGCAAGTCCTATTCCGGGACCTCGAGAGTAGGACTGGGATGTCACAAACAGAGCTTGATCAAATGATGGGTCAACTGAATGAGTGATCAAGTGATGGCTCCGTAGAACAAAGTAAAGGGAGGATTCGTAAGATGGTAGGAGTTTGTTACTAGTGTGACAGACTCCCAAACAGGTAGGTGTGTTTGGTGTAATCAATGAGAATAAAAGGACTAGGGTACAGGAGATCTAGCAGGCTACTTATATACCGTCTGCACCTGTGACGTCACATACTAGTGCAACAGGTGTCAGACTAAACTAGACTGTAAGTAGCTGTTTCACCATGGCACTTGTCACACTACTGTCAGAGTAAGGCTATGCAACAGGACATAGACATTTGACAGGAACAGTGACAAGCGGGGATGTCATCAGGGCGATGATTGGATCAAAAAGGATAGGTATGTGGTAGGAATCAACAGGGTGTGATATTACCCCCCCTTTAGGTTCGATGTCCTCATCGACTAGATTAGGGAAAGATCAAATCCACCGTTGAGAGGGAAATAGTTGAGGTTCGAGTATTCAGGAATTCATCAATATATTCCTGAGAGTTGGTAAGATTCCGTCGAGGTTCCCAGGTATTTTCACTATAAGGGTAGCCTTTCCATTTCACAAGGTATTGAACTCCCTTGCCTCTCTTTCGAGATTTAAGGATTTTCTCTACCTCATATTCAGGTTTTCCTTGAACTGTAACAGGTCCTGGGCGTTCTTCTTGACGATGAGGTGGTGGTTCATGATAGGGAGACAGCAGTTCTTCATTGTACACAGGGTATCGATAGTCGAGGCCTGGTACCTTTAATTGGTAGGAAGCTGTCCCCACTTTCTTCAGGATTTCATAGGGTCCAAGTCGTCTATCTGACATCTTTGCAGAGGGGCGACCTTGATCTACAGTTTCATTTGCTTCTAGCCATACTTTCTGTCCAGTCTTGAAATTAGGAGCCGGAGTTCGTTTCTTGTCATAATATTTCTTCATCCGTTCCTTTGCCTTTCGCATGGCTATACTGGCATCATCTCGTATGGCTTTCATCTTATCTGCAAGCTCTTGAGCAGATTCATTTCTAGATTCAACATATGTCCCTATTCCTTTCCATGGATG